TAGGCTCTGCTGGGCAATTACGATGCACAAGTCCCAGGGGCAGACTTTAGCCAAGGCCGTCATTGACTTGGGGCCCAAGGAGGCCTGCACGGGGCTTACTTTCGTCTGTCTCAGTAGGGCGAAGAGACTTGTGGACCTCATGGTAGAGCCCATGAGTTTCGACAGGATTGGTAACCTTGGAAATTCGCCGACGATGAAGGCTAGGCTGCAGGAAGAGGTTAGACTTGGGGAGTTAGCACAGAGTACGAGGGTCAAGTACACGGACATGGGCGTCTTCAGCGCCGTCGCGGGTAACCAATGACGTGAATTGCAAAGAGAAAAAGAAGAAGAAAGGGTCTCTTCCACCTCCCGCGGACGCACACGTCTGACGACAGTTACATCTATCAGCTGTCGCTCGTTTTAGCGACAGCTACTATATCTTTAGATCCAGGATTGTTTTTTTGGTGTTGTCTACAACTGTCAGTAGTACAGTATTCTGGGCACCAGTCGATACCATCTCGGAAGCATTCGCTATGTATGGAAGACCAACCAAATCATATCAAAGTCAGGGGTTTTGCTTACTTACGCAAAAACTCGCACACGCTAGACTAGAAGGCTCCGAAATTATTCGCTTCCCCCCGTCACTCAGATCATATCTCACACGCTGCGCTTTCTTCAGCATTATGGTGCGTCAACGACCCCAAAAAAAACAACAGGCGATGTCACGCTAGAGAAGAGCAACACCGAATGCATAGATAGCACTACTGAAAAGAGAGGAGCCGCGTTATGCGCCCAGGAACCTCCGAGGGGGCTAGACAAGCCCACCGAAAACAGCACACAAAACGGACATAACGCGCGCTTTAATGACATGGAATTAGTCCAAGACATGACAGGTTCTCAGGCACGTATGTATGATAAACGAGATGAGCTCTTTGAAGTCGTATCGTAGGTTTCCCCAGATTGAGACTAAAATAAGTCACCGCTCCAAGTATCCCGTATTGCATAGTCAGTTATTATTATTGTGCAGATTTATTTGTCGTCCGTTGCACCCGCGTTGAATATTTTGAGCTAGCTGCGGCAAAGCCGATGAGGGACACGTTGATATATCAATATAATGAGGATTTTTTAATTAGACTACTAAGTTACACAATTTTCGTCAAGCTTTCTTTAGGGAAACACCTGTATATATTCCGAGTTCCTGTAGTTCAGATGTCAGAGTAAGGTTTTGGTATGGTGTTCAGGGTGTGTCTTATCAGGCCAAAAAAATGCGTATGTATTTGGTTACGAAACCGTATTTTCTTGAAATATATGGAGGCGTTCCTCTACGTTTCCGTAAAAAGAGCAAGGCGTATTTTTTGGGGGCTTGCTCCTTTTACTGTTCGGTGAAAAATTTCCCGCTTTTTTGCGACTACCGGAGCAGACACCGGTCACGCGTGCTGTCTTCATCACACCACACCTAGATAGCACCAACAACACCCCAAAGTGCTTCCCAAGGCAACTCCACTACCATGCCTGAGCGTGGGAAGCGTCAAGATCCCAGGGGGATCGCAGCGCAACGCCGGGAGAAGCGCCGTCGGCGAGCTATCGACGAGGAGGATGTACGTCGAGCCGTGGCGCTTTCCGTAAATTTTGAAAAAATATGCACCTTCGCGCCTTCTGCCGATAAGAACCACTGGAAACCCTAGTTACGGTTTCGTGAAAAAAGTTACTGTTCGGTAAAATAAGTCACGTATTTTTTCGGCCTGATAAGACACAGCCTGAGCACAAGATTTGGTACCGTATTCATTCGTCATGGGGTTGATTCATGAAGTTTAACGGTAAGAATAAGAGTAGAGGTAGGAGCAACATGATAGGATGTATTTTGTCGATGGAAGTACAGATAACCAACGATGTTGGTATCAACGCGGGTAGCCACTGCTGTGGTATCGATCAAGATGTGAGGATTGATTTGAACGTACTTCAAGAGACATGAGGATGGTTGAATGGAACTCAATGGTTTTGTTAGAATTCTCTCCGGAAGGAAGGAATGTAACGTGCAAAACAAAACCTATAGATTTAGAAATTAATTTTGAAGAAAATTTGACCTGGTCGTGTGACGTCATATGATCTGAGATTAGAAGATATTGTTTCATCAGATATTTCAAGGGACATTGGGCACTGTGTTCCCCCTTGTGAATGGTTACTTGGGCAGTTTGTTGCCTTCGGATCCATTGTTTTTCACTCTGGGGTTGGGTGATTGAAAAATTTTGATATTTCTCACATCAAATGGCGTCATTTGACCAGGTGAATATACAACACGTCGATGGTCTCCAATCTGCATTGGGTAGACGGTCAGGGAAGCCCCCTTTGCACACTCTCACGCTTTATCCCTACAGCCAAACTCCCATCGTGTTCGGAGCAGCCGGCGTTCGGATCCCTGCCGTGGTATCACACCGGTCGCCCCGGTAGTCTAGTGGGTAGCCTCGCAGCCTGCTAAGGGCCAGGTCATGGGTTCGAGTCCCGACAGAGTGAGTTTATTCTCTCTAATTAAATCCTGGTCTCCGTTGGAAGCGATGGCTGCAAAGCTCGTTGTTAGTAAACTTGATCGACTTTACAAGTCGCGAGGGAAGGGATTGCTGCTCCCTTCTCGCGATAAAAATATCTCAGGCAGGAACCTCAGGAGGGGGTCCAACCCCCCCCTCCTGTGTGACCCCGGTTGGGTCGTCTAGCTGGTAGAAGTGGAGGATAGGGGCCAGAGGGGCAGACGACAGAGTCCAACAATGGGAGCCAAAATAAAACAAAATAAAATACAAAAAATAAAATAAATAGCTCTCCTCCGATCAGACTTGAGGCAAGGCGGCAAGGCTGTTTCGAGTTTCGTGCAAAGCCGCTCATCCATATTGACCTCGCAGCTGACACCACCTTCTCCTGCTGCGTATCAACTCCCAGGTGTGTACTTGGATACAACGCGTGTGTACCTTTCGTCGTGTACCAGATAAGATCCACTACAATCGACTACTACTCGTTGCTGCTGCTACTGCTTTTCATGAAGGATGCTCTACAACATGGCTGAGACACGCTGCAAACGGTCTCGACAACACTCTTCGACACACACCGTTCGAAGAAAAACAGGGAAGTTCTACCTATATTGACTGCAACTCTACTGCTGTGCTGATCGCCGCCTGTTCATTTGCCTCGATGATACGTTACACACAAGAAAGACTGAACTCCAACGCTGTACATCAGTATCACTCCTAACCTACTATCCTATGTATCCCCCTCCCCTTCAACGCGTTTCACCTGCACGAAGAACAACATAACATTGTAGATTTCAAAATGAGCGAGAAACAGCCACACTCAAATCTACAATACAACTCCGACTGTTGAATTTCAAAAAATGTTTGTGGTGCGTGTACATGTACAACAGTCCTACAGCTGTCCATACTGTAGTCTATATTCACGTCGCCTAAAACAGCAGCGAAGTACTTTCTAAAAACAGCAAGTTGTCAAACGACACTGCACCATGTTCCCTGTGAAGGCCACGTTCCACACAAAATCAAGAATGTATCCGCCTATACAGATGCTTTTGTCCTTAGCTCCAACTGGTATTACTGATGACTCAGTATTAGGCTTACACAAGCTCAAAATAAGCCAAGTCTCCAGTTGGTTTCAATCCACTTACTGAAAAGACTTCACCACATCCCTTTCGACTGAGGTTATATCTCGAACGGGAAGTCTTTCTGTGAGGTTATGTTTAGACTACACTTTCTAACAACGGGTGCGATTCCGATTGGGATGGAAGCCGCCACGCACGCCCTTCTCATCGACCAGAATATGCACACTTCCCTCGCGGATCAACGATCAGCAGATGCAAGAGTCAGCACGACCGCCAGGAAACACAGAAGCCTTGAAGGAAAACCTCGGAATCTTCCACTACTGCAGACGGTTTCATATGAGAGAGAGGCACACACGCGACGGACTAGTAGATCCCCTTGCCGACTCACGTACGTACGACGGTGGCAACCCGGCCGTCGCAGGCGCGCAGCACCTTCCTAGAGAAACACGGTGTGCTTCTCCGAGATATTCGCACGGCAAAGAGGGCAGACAGCGAGGCTTTCCGAACACTGCGGACACGTGGCCATGTGCATGCACGGGAACATCACCTGCGAGCGAGAGTGCGAAACAAACCGATGCCAGCGGTTCGGAGAACGGGACGTGAGTGGACGGCCTTAACCGGAGGCTCTCGGACACCACCAGTGTTAATCAGGCAGCGTATCTGTGACTAAGCATGCACTCCGTAACCGTTTGAACAACGTGTACCAACGATCACCCCAAAGAGTCGATGCCGGTTGGGCACCCCGTTTTGCCTCTTGCTCCACCAAAAACAAAGAGGTAACCAAATCTGGCCTTGCATAGACACGACACGTCGAATTTCGTGCTTGCCTGATTTAGAGTCTCGGGGCTATCGTATCAGAGTGTCAAAGTACTCCGTGGCTCAGGTGTAAGACTAAGATTTCCATAAACTACGACTGCCGTGTAGGACGTACATAGTGCATACACATGCCTTCTCTCCGCAACAGGCGTACGGTTGACTAAGCAAACAGCCGTAACACCAACAAGCCGTTTCGTGGTCAATTTTGGACGAAGCCACCAATCTTTCGAGCCTCCTCGTGAGGAAGGGACCACTCCGTCAACCTCGGGCTTTCAAGTATGTGTCCTCCAAGAACTATCACAACAAAAGGAGCCCCTATCTCGGGAACCAAATCTTGCGAACAAGCACGCTGTTTCACCATGCGAGAAAACCATTCCCGAGCGGAACACCAACGAGGCATTGTGTCGAAATAGACTGCTGATGAGGGCAGGGACAACTATCTATTACTACCTCACCACGCGAGAGCGACGCCGGAAGCACACGCAGCAATTCCCCTCCTTCTTCTCGCCTCCATCCACCTCCACATCGCTGCTCGCGCAGCACACCAGCAGCCGGTTACGCAATACACAACGTTTGCAGTTAGGGGGGCGGGAAGGCGGTACTTGTTGTTGCATGTTTTCTGACGTTTAAGCGTTGCGTTGAGTTGAACAGCCCACCCGTACGGAGGGGGGGGGAGGGGTTGTGCCGCGTGGCACCGTTCTGAATCCCCCCTAACGCATATGGACTATACGTTTCGTGGACACGACAGCATATGGGCGGCAAATCGGAGTTTAACCGCTACGCTAAAAGTCTGCGAGCGGTGTTATGCGTCGGACTCCTCGCTGCTTGCGGCGGTTGTAGGAATAGGAACGGCGCTCCGTCTCGTAGGAGATACGTTGTCAACAAAAATGTATAATGTCAGCAACAAATGAGTACCCCCATTCCCCCCCCGGCGTTTGCCATCGGGGTTGGGTTTTCGTCGCTTGGCAACGACGTTGTAAAACAAGCCCCCCCCCTCTTCCCCCCCAATCTAGACTTCAGTGGGTTGGCGCTGTTGGCAAAGCGCTGTAAAACACGCCACCCCAAATATAGCCCCCATAGTATGCGCTACCAAAGACGCGTGACGCATGGATGCGTGGAGTGAGGATTGCTTACGGAAACCTCACAGGTTGAGTGATGTAGGAGATTGCCGGACACATAGACGTGTTGAGTGATTA